AAAAAAAAAAAAAAAAGAAAAGAAAACTATTAATCCACTCACATAATTTTCCTTCATTTTTATTTTGATGGGGAAAAAAGCTTTAATACTGTCAATTTCCATCTTATTTGTGAGTTGATTTCAAAGTTGGGTATAGGACAAAAATAACAGAGAGTCAGAAATACCCTTGATATTTTAACTTGTTTTGTGTATGCTGTGTTAGATCTCACAATTTCCAACACAGCTGATGTATCCAGCCTTGGAATCAATCATTTTTCCTTCAGTTGAGCACCAGATGAAGCAGATGATTTGTATTTAGGGGCCATCTGACATAAAAATCATATTTTATTATAGTTGCTAATGTATTTTTTGAAAAGCATAGTTGAATAAACATGCAATACATGTGTGTATAACGTGCTCCTACTATGTGAAGTATGCATGGAAAATGTGCCTGTTCCCATACACCCTCCTAGTAGTTTCAGAGACATGATCTCCTCCCTGTTCTTTTGACTCAGACCTATCGTTTCCTTTCATTCATCTTCCCAAATACCTATGTCACAGTAATCCCATTTCAATACTGCATCACCAGGTTCCAGGAGACCTGGGATCTAACCATAGTTCCAACCTTAACTAGCCACGTGACCATGGGAAAGTCAATTAACCTCTCTGGAACTTGGTTCTCTCAATCATAATATTCTCACACCTTTCAGTCCAGTGGTGGATGTAGTAACTCAAAAACCAGGAGACAATAAATCAACTCTACTGTCTATGACTGATGGAGAAACTTAATAAATGAGCTGTACCCTTGGCCAAACAGTGCTATCCTCATCATCCCAGGATGGCTCTGACTTCAAATTTTGCTACGGCCACCGTTTCAAGTTAGGAGCCTTTTTTACTAATGCCATAGATATGGTAGGAACAAAAAGAACCATCAGGCCAAGCTATCAATCAGACCTAGAGACAATAACAGTGGGAACGTGGAGAATGGTATGAATCTGACATTTTGGTTCATATTTTAAAGCATCTTGTTTCAATTACCTTGCAAGAACATCTCCCAAATCAGAACAGAGGCTATTAATTTTTCTGAAAATCCATTTTATCTATGCACTCAGACAAACGTCATTATTGTCTCCACAGAGCCTTTGTACAGGTGCACTAATGTATTTAAGAGAGAGACAAAAGCACAAAATGAGGTGAAAACCAAAGAAATAGCTGCCAACACAGCAGTATTCTTTGATCAGCCTTTTATGCACAGCTGTCATTTTGCACCATGTTCTTTCTGGGAGAGTTGAAAGATCACTTTGAGATTTGTCTTTTAAGTTACAATGAGATGTGATCTTTGACATTTTATAAATTCAACAAAACTTCATTAATATAAATCCCTCTAAATTCAAGTTTTGTAATGATTTGGCGTGAACTAAGCTGATGTCTACCTTCCCATTACACATATGACAAAAATGGGTATTAGGGGAACAATGTAAGGGACATATAGGTCTATTTCCTTCCTTCCTTCCTTCCTTCCTTCCTTCCTTCCTTCCTTCCTTCCTTCTCTCCCTCCTTCCCTCTCTCCTTCCTTCCTTCCTTATTCTGTTCTTCCTTCCTTCCTCTGTTCCCTCCCTCTCTCCCTCCCTCCCTCCCTCCATCCTTCCTTCCTTCCTCTGTTCCCTCCCTCCCTCCCTCTCTCCCTCCCTCCCTCCATCTTTCCTTCCTTCCTTCTCTTCCTTCCCTCTCTTCTTCCTTTCTTCTTTCAAACACTCCCTCAGATTTATCCACATCAACTGCCTTACAAATATGGCTTTGGGTACCTCTGAAGTTAGAAAGCAAAACATATGCCACTTGCTTCTCCTTCCAGAAAAAGAGAATGGATGCCAAAACCTACCTATCAGGTTCAAAGCAAGACCCTTTCCACTTAATTTGCTCACTTATCCTTCCCTTCTCCGCTTTCCTAAATCTCTCCACCAGGCCCTCTGACCTGGCTTTATGAAAAAATCTTCAACCTCGCATGATTGTAATAATTCAAAGCTATTCCCAGGGTCCATCTCTTCCTCTCTTACCCATGGGGACAATGATGATCATGCAACATCTTTCAGGCAACAGCAATTACAGCCTGGTACAATAAATTTCTCAGGGTTAAGATGAGAGGCAGCAAATCCCTCAGCCTCAAATCCAGAGATGAGAATGATTCTTAAAAGCAGGGTTAGAGGGCAGAAATCTTGTGTCAATTTTAACTCCTTCTGTATTTAGCAGCAGTAATTACCATGTGGGTTGGTGAGTGCTAAAACAGATGAGGCTTTGCCAGGATTTAAGTTAATAACACCTTTAATTTCCATGGATAAATACAACTCAGAGGAAAAAAACAAGGTTTATACCCTATATGGTAAAATGTATTTTCAGAATTGCATAAATAATTACACAGAGCTTAAATCTGGTGGAATGTACCATGTCTCCATTTTGGCACTTTGTTTCTCATCATTGGGAAACAAGGGTGCAGAATTTGACTTGATAACATTTACAATTGTAAGAAGAGTTATATCCTTTCCATATACCCCCAAAAGATTATACATGTCAATAGGTGAAAACTAATGATGAAATTTCCAGTATGAGTTCATGGCTTAATAATACAAGGAGGTACAGATATAAAGAAAATTGACTTATGAGTTGCTCCCTTCTCTTTGATGGCTACGCTGTCGAGATGCAACGCAAGTTGTGTTTCCCAAGGTAACACAATAGCAGAAAGTGGGATATGGACACACTGCATGTCCTCATGTTTCTTACGCCAAGCAGGATTTTGATTGGATTTTTATTGATAAATATGTGTGACCTTTAGCATTTGAAATTATGACTACTATAATATGATATCCTGAGTGTTAACAGCATCAGTATCATGTGACCTAGACATTTTCAGCTGCTCTTCATATTTCACATTAAATCTGATGAGTTTTGTTCTCTACAAATATTGTCTCAGCGCTACTTACTCAATGATGTGATGACAGCTTTGACAGTTTTTAGAAATTAGTCCAGTGGATATATAGGTTGAGGGTGGGAAAGGGGCTGCAGGTGAGTAAACAAGGTACTGGATGATGGGACACTTGAGTCTGTAGCAGAAAGAATGGGGCGGTGATGGGAGTCCCAACTGAGTCTACCACAGAGCTCTTAGTGGCCCCTCCTCTTTATCACATTTGCCACTGCCTTGTTCTGGCCTTAATCCTCTCTCACCCACTCTTCAACAGTGTTCTCCCTGCCTTTAGTTTTCCTTCTGTGCCGCTTCCAACAACCTGTGAAAATATACGGTCCTGATTAAAAACACTCAATGGATTTTCACTGCTTGCTTAAAGCATTAGCATAACATTCCAGACTCTTTATCAATATGGAAGGTCTATTTTCAAGGGACTAGAAAGGAAAACAGGAGTGGGAGGGGTAGTATGAAGAGGTGAACTAAAGGAAGATCATATTAAAAAGTAAGAGGAAGTCCCCTGGAGTACCCAGAGCTGCCTGGGAGACGCATCACTACAGCAGCCTCACTAGCTCTTCTTGGTGTTTGTACTATACTAAGGGATGAAAGCAATGATTCTTTAGTGAAATATCA